TGGGCATAACATAAGTATATTTCGAGCTCTGGCAGGAAAGAAATCTAAATGACAATTATAATTAGGGTCATACCTTCGTAATTGGGTTATTGTTAAGTTAATACGAGTATATTGTGATTATACATTATGTGTATTTGTATGTCTACATTTGATGTATGATCAAATTATAATTGTAATTAAAAATGTTAATAAAAGGGAAACTTAACTTCTTGAAACTGCAAAAAACATTTTCCGAAGTGCATTAAGCAAATTCGAGTAGGTAGCTTGAATCTGGCACAACATCTTGGTCAAGTTGGGTTTGCGGCTGGGACTTGTGTTTTATTGATTCCATTATAAATGCCACTTAATCGATGTGTGGCAGCAGGCAATCGGGATTAGGCATATGACAGCATTAAATATGCAGCAAGGAAACGCCGTTGATTGACTGCCATCCTCACAGCAGTTAATGGATTTTATTCGAATGCCAATGAGTCGGACGGTTGATGGAACGCTTAGTCAAAGGCTCAAGCGCCAATCTTAAGCAGAAAAAACCCAAAAGTCCATATTTTACTTCAGTTTTTAATTGGTTTTTAATTGCTCTCAGTTTTCTTATTTGGAAATTAGCAAAATCTATGTAGCTGTGCTGGTTTAAAGACCTTCCTTACGTAGTTTATTTAGCCTTGTTAGTTATATTTGAAATATTCTGGAATTTATATTATATATAAGGCGTCCTGCAATCAATGAATCGCCTTTAAATCCGAGTCCCTTGTCCTAGTTCCAATATCACTCCTGGGCAACTGAGTAGCAACTTAGCCCCAACTAATGGCCCCGCCCTTCGTGTGGGAAAACTTGACTGCCTTTTCCCGCTCTGTCTGTAATTACATAGTTAAACCAGCTGCTGCTGGAAGTTGGCTGGGCGGCAGCCAGGTGGCCACGCCCACTGGGCCGGCAATAAAACTTTATTCCTCAGCTATGACTGAATATTACGCGGACTCGATTTCAATCTTCTGGTTTCTGCGGGGAGAGTCTCGCTCATGTTTATTCAGAGGTTTTTTGAGCTCATTCCACTCAAAAAGAAACACTACCACCTATCCGTTTTTCGCATGTTAGCTTACTCGTACATCTTATTTTGAGACTGATCTTTTAGCAGTGTTTTTCTTTTCTGCTAATTCTGAAAGGAAAATGCTTGAGTTTTTCTTTGTTGCAGCTGCTTTTTGGGCATTACTAACTCTAAATGACACTTCTACAATTTTAGTTAGTGTTTAAATGTCCAACAATTTCTGCCAGTGTACGGGAAACTGTTGGATTATTGTTAACAAGGAAAATTAAAACGTAAATGTTTGAAAATTGGATTTCGGCCCAAAGTAGCTTTTGTTTAGTTGGCCTTAGTCTGGCCTTTGCCACTTCTTCTCCTCCCCACCTCGTTTCCATTTATTCCCCTCTTCCAACCTGTTTCTTTGTGCTTTCTAAACGTGTGTGTGTGTGTGTGTGTTCAGTGAGGTGTTGCCTAGTTTTCGGCTTGTTAGTTAGTTAAAAGTTTTTGCGTGCAATTAAAATGCTGCGCAAAAAGTTTCCTTCAACATTGTTCTTAATTTTTTCTTGGTTTTTGCAGTTTGCCAAAGCCAAATACAAATGAACAACTATTGTGTCAGCCTTCGTTTGAGTGTGTGTGTGTGCGTCTGTGTGTTACCCTGCAGTCGGAAAAGTGTGCGAAGTCCTGTGGCAATTGTCTGATTGTTTTCTTAGCCGCAGCAGAAGGAGCAGCATTCAATGGCAAGAAAGTTCGTTATCAGTGACATTTCGGCGTATAAATAACAAACAGTTAGCAGTAGCAGTGAGCAGTGAGCACTCACCAAAATCTCCCGAAACTCCCCTACAAAACGCTAACCAGCTTGCAAGCCATTCCCAGTTAGCACTTTCTGCACTAAGAGAAAACACGTGAAAGACTTTAGGAGACTTTAATAATCACTTTTAGCTTTAATAAAAACATAGTTCTAAACTCGAATATATAATTCGTGATATGCGAGTATTTGTTATTATTGATCCTTTTTAATGACAACCTTAGTCAATTTCTGGTGTTTTTCGCTCTGTATTCCTAGGTCTCAGTTAGCAGTTAACAGTTCCCAGTTGCCGTGGCGGACGTGCTGGCAATGTCAATTTAAATGAATATTCTAAGCAGCTGGGCCACAAGCTCTCGAAAGACCGGAGATTTGGAGAAACGAATCCCGAGTCCTGAGCTCTGTGTTTGCTCTCCGTCGATGGCGATGTCGAGCAATTAGGAAGTGAATTACAATGCCCCAGGACTAAATGCTCCGAGTGCTGTGGCAGGCAATTTGAGTAAATAGAAAGTATGCAAATGAAATATTGAGATTTCCTGAAGCTCAGAAATAAATATTGTTCACTTATTGAGCACTTTGAGGGGGCTCGTTGGGTCTGGAATTTTCTCTTCATTTATAGATCAATTACTTAATACACAAATCTATATATTCTCTAATTTGTTTGATAGTTTCACTGCTGATAATAACTTAAGTTATTCGAAGGCATTTCCATTTGTCAACAAATATTTCGCCTATGTTTTTAGTTTAACCAAACTAGAGTGGACCTGGAGATGGCTCTTTAAAGTGGAGTTCGCAGTTCGGGATGAATCGTTGCACAGTTTAAATCGAAGAACAATTCGCTCTTGGCGCTTTAATTGGCAGCCATAAGATTCGACATGCGTGTGTCACTTCTCCGTCGCTGCACTCTATACGAAATTAAATCAATTGCTGACCGCAAAACCGCATGAAAACAAATCTACGGAAAAATATGATTCATGTGCGTGAGTCTGGCGTAAGGCAAACGGCGAATGGCACTCGGTACTATGCAAAAGGAAGCGCACAGACCGATGACAGAGAGTATGTATTTTTCTCCGTGGAGCCTCCTGCCGAAAAAGTCGACGCTGCTGTGCTGGGAAACTGACAAAACTAATTGCCTCGGCAGCCGTAAACAAAAAAGGAATATTCGCTGCATACTTTGCGGCAGTCAGCAAGGCTGATTGAAAATAAAAAACTTAACAAAATAAGCTAAAAGCTGAAGAGTTGCCGAGTTTCCGAGCGCATTAAATCATTTCCGCACTGCAAAGCAGGCAGATTCATTTGGCTTGTTCTTCTGTGGAAAGTCGCAAGTTGCAGGCAGTTGCAATTTACCACTATTTATGGGCTGCTCCCGGGGGAAAGCGATGAAAAGTGTGTCTCCGTTCCTCCATTTCCCTCGCTGCTAGAAAAATGATTCGACCGAAAAAAGGAAAATACCCTGCTTATATACTATGGCAGTATGTGTGTATATGCCCGTACACACACACACAGTCAGTCGTCCGATTAGCGCATTCATGTGTGTGCATGTGTAACATATTCAGGCAATTACTGCCATTCAGCGCATTTCAATTCAACTTCAAAACTGCCTTCAGGACCTTCCCCAGTCCCTCCCGGTGTTGTGGAAAAAAGCTTTTAAACTTCACTCAAGATTTTTGCCGTTCACGCTCGGCTCCCAAATTTTTTGACTGTCGCTGCTCACTTAGTTTTCTGTGTTCCGTTTTTACCAGAAGCCTTATTTCAGCACCATGGCAGGGAAAACATCATTTTTTGCAATCAAAGGCAATATCATTTACGGTCCTTGGTTTGGGTTTCCGGTTAATTTCAAAAAATATTATCACTTACTTATCTATAATATATTCTTAATGAGAGAAGGGTTATCAATTATCCTGAGATGAAGCACTAAAGATCTATAAATATAGAGGAAAATCCAAAGGTCATCAACTGAATATCCCTTTACCGTAATGAAAACAACAAAACGAATATCTGACATTTCAAATTTCGTGTCCTTGATTTCATATTATACCCTGTAGTAGCTAATTTTTATAATTTAAAGTGAACAGAAAAACTATCTTAGATTGTGAATTTAAAAATTGAATCGAACAACATTGATTCATACTCATCAGATCTATGGAACATATGTGTTGCAATTTCCCGTTGATTTCTCCACCGTTCTCATAATTTTTGGGATTGCATGCTGACTGCTTTTGGTTCTTCCAGAATACTTTTGTATATATCCTGCTGCTTTTGCTGCTGTCTTTATCTGCGACTGCCACCTTATACATATATGTGTGTGTCTGCCAGCATAAAAGCGCTCAAAATAATAGTTTTTAGTTCTTTTCTAAAGTTATTTTTCTTTAATTAAGTTACATTTTTATTTCATTATTGACGTTAATCAAGAATGATGGTTGGTAAATGTAAAAGGGATACTTTCTGAAATCCTACAAAAAATATGACAAAATCATAAATGTTTTTATATTGAAGTAAAGAATTAAAAGAACTTGAAAATTTATTTTCAATTTTCGTGCCTAGTATTTTGACCTCAAGTGTATTTACACTTGTACTTACGCAACTGATGCTTTTCCTCCATCATTTTCTCTCACTTCTTTTTGTTGTTGGGCTCTTACTTTGTTGCCTCTGTTGAGTGTGTGTGAGTGTCTGCCGTTTTTATAAGTCTGTCAAAATGTAGTTCATATATTTTGGCGAAAATTCATTTTGCAGTTGACATAACTTTGTCAGCCCCAATTTATCAACAACAATTAGTAGAGCAGAGCGGACCCCACTGACTTGACTGACAACTATGTGTGTGTCTGAGTGTGTGAGACGGGGTAAGAGGAGGGGTGGTATGTGACAAGAATTTTGAACAAAAACTTTTCCTGCCAAACAGAGACTCTTACTTGACTCACTTGACTTTCTGGCCCCGAGAACTTTGAAAACAGTTCGAGAAGACGCATTCGCTCTGTGCCCGCATACCCGGCGTATGCGTAATATTGTAATGCCAAAATAATGTGCACTTGGAAAATTGCTGTCACCCCAGTGAGAGGAGAAACAGTAAAAGCAACAACAACAGTAACAGCAACTAGAACAGCAGCAGTACACATCAATTGTCAAGTGTCAGCTCAACCAGCTGGCTTATTAAACTGCAATTTGCCACCTGAGCTGACAACTCACCTGTACTCGTGCGACATGAAGAAGGTGCCCCGAATCAGACAACCGTTGGGATTCTTGCGCTTGCCGTCGAAGATCTTCTGGTAATGCTGGTAGTTGTTCAGGTTCACGGCGCCATCGAACGTCAGCATGATGATTTGGGGGATCTGAAGAAGTGACGGGGATAAATTATAAATTATTCTAATATCGGGGTTGCAAGAATAAATCTTTTTTGGTTATTTTTAATATATGTTAATTAGTAGATGTACTTACATTGACCTATCTATCAAAGTTCACCTTTTTATTCGTTGTATTGTTGTCTACAATATTCGTTATTATTCGTTGTTCGTGAATCTTTGTTTTCCACATTAAGAACAACTCGATGCCAATATTTTACACCCACAGGTGATTGAATCTTCGATCCAACAGAACATCCCTTAATTATTCGGTTCAAAACCGCTGCTGTCTCAAAATAATTAAGAGCACTTGCAGCCACATAAGTGTGGGTGCGAGGGGGCAGGTGCAGGGGGGGAGGGTTAACATCTACGAGGGGGTGGGGGTTGTGCCCAATTAGAGGATTGCCGACCTCAAAATCAGCCGGGCATACGATGGCATTGGAAGCCGCAGAAGCAGCTCTAATTGAAGGTTTTGCATTTTGCGTTTGTTTTTCCTGTCTGCGTTGCGCCTGGTTGCGCATTTCCCAACCGCCTCCAACTAACCAGGCACCCAATCGCCCAACCACCCGCAGCCTCCCAAGCCACCAACTAAGCCCCGCTTTCGGCTTTGGCACAACTTGCAGCTAAAGCATTAAACATAATTAGTGGGCTACCGGTCGAGGAAGAGCAACTAGCTAGTGGCAATAGCGACTGCCAACCGGCAACCGATTCTCGAAACCAAAATTATTTCAAATAATGCAAGACTATCAATAACACATAGAAGCAACTTTTGCACAGCGAATTCCATTACAAAATTGCAACCCAAAAATATGGACAGAAATGGGTATCCAGCAAAGCCAAAGCCAAAACCAAAACCAAGCCCGATCCCACTCCTAAACCCGAACCAAAAGCCCTTGAAGCTTGCAACACTTTTAGTGCAATTCCATAATCAAAGACCGCCAAGAGCAGTCGGAAAAGAATGAGTGAGAAGAAAGTTATAATAATGCTAAAGAAATGACGCCCCACAAAAACAGGGAAAATCAGCGCGAAAATCACATAAAAACTTGTGGATACTCTAGAGCTGTATTTTGTCTTAACTTGCCCTTTACTTAGAGTTATTGTCATTTAAACTAGATATGGACATAAAAAATTGCTGTGCTGCACCTTTAAACTGCATACTTTTATTTATTTTTCATTCTTAAGTGGATATGAAATACTACTCCTTTTGGAGCTTCCTTAAGGGTTAAAATTAAGAGCCAAAAATAAAATTGCAGCTTTCCCAAGCACCTTCGTTTTAGGTATATTTAAACGTAAGCTCAAATACTGCTGTCCAACAAATTTTCAATCTCGAGGGCCAGGGAAAAGTACGGGAAATAAAATGGTAGCGGCAGCAAAATCGGAAATGCATTTCGCATTTGGTCCGAGATCTGGCCATAAAGGCGGTTGGCACGGCTGGAGGAACGCACTTAGCGCTCATTGTAGGACACATAAAAAGGATTATTGTATAAATTCAATATTAATGCGGTCGAAGGAAGCAGATGACTATGACTGTGGCTATGGCTATGACGATGGCGATGGTGATGACGATGATGATACCTGCACCTAACCGAACTGAGCTGGCAAAATTATGCAGCATCGCGAAACACTCGGTGGTCAGTTTAAGTGCGGCTTAGATGACAAGTCGGTATTGAATTGAAATTGAAATACGCGCTTCGATTTGACAGCTTTCCATTTTCCTTCCCACTTTCCTTATATCTTTTCAGCCCGTCTTCTTGCCTTACGCTTGGTCTCCGACTTTATCGAAAGGCATATTTCAAAGTGTTCAGAGTGTTTCCGCAAAATGAGTGCAAATCAACTGCGAAACTTCTTCCTTTCTGGCTAAATTATGAAGAAAAAATATTATTGCAAATATAATGAATGCGAGGGACGAAAGCAGAGCGTGAAAAAGAGCTAAAGCAAATCATAAATTTCCAGCTCGGACCAAGTTTTCCCTAAGAGGTGAGGGGGAAGTGTGCAGGCCATTGTGGGCCGATTGCACTTTATGCGATTGCCATTGCCATATTTCTGAATCGCCGATTACCTATCGTTTCCAAAGCCAATTGCATTTCAAGTTCTCAAACAGACGGATGCCATGCATTTGCCCATCTGAATTGTGGCCGACAAATTGGGGTGTCTCTTCGCCAGATGAATGCTTCTGTGTGAAATGTTCTATTCCGAGCCATGGATTATAATTTTATTATCAGAAACGGTAGATGCGATGCAGGTTAAAGTTGTTGGTAGTTAGAAGTTAGTGGTGCTTCTATTTAGGCTTAGGGTAACATTATAAATTAAAGTGAAGCACAAATTACTTTATATTGCGACCATATTGCACCAAAAGAGTTTGTATTTTGAGGGATCTTTAAGTTTGCAAAACTAGAAATATGTGGCCGGGACAAATAGCAGACGAAAGTGCACTTCAGAGTGCGTTGATAATTTTTGCCTAATGCGACTAAAGTTTGCACTTTAGTCTTTCAACAAATATGGCAGCTGGAGAGTTGGAGGCCGGGAGACTAGAAGACCAGGAGACGAGCTGCTACCTCGGTGGTGGGAAAACGCAAGGGAATAGCGAGGAGTGGGCTGGCGGTGAAATCGGGGCCAAAAGTTTGCTCCGACGTCAAGGACTGCCAACTGTTTGGGAGCAATCGGGGGTCTGGCAAATTTGCATAGCTCAGTTGCTCAATCGCAGCGACAATTGAACGGCTCATTGATTGCACCACCCATTTGCCATTATCCATTCGCCCTCAGTACTACTCACCACTCACTACTCGCCACTTATCCAGCCATCGAAGCATCCACAAACTTTTTGTTGACACTGTGCAATCTTTTTATTTCATTTTCCCAAATCAAATTCGACTCGCATTCAAATTGAGCAAAGCGGTTTATTTAACGCCTTGCTTTGGCTCCATTATTGACTTTTGCGGCGGCTGCACGTTGGTTTATGGCAAAATTAAATTTTGGCCGTTATTTTCGTAACAAACTTAAAACTTCAATACAATATCTGAAATTATTTAAACTAATTTAGATATACGAGAGACATTTCTGGTATGTGCCAAAGTAAAAAAGGCTAAATGTTTTACTGCCTCGTTTTAGTTAAGAGTATATAAATATTTATATGGTAGGGCCTTCTTAGAACATTAAGATTAAGTAAAGACGTCTCCAGTTTGGATTTCCTAACAGGCAGTCACTGTCGCTGCCTTCGACGATAGCGCTTGTCCTTGAGGAGGGAAAATGAAAAGGTGAGAAGAGAAGCAATAATTAAACGATGAACGAATACGACGGAGAAGCTGAAGCTGAGAAGCTGCGGCCAACGCAGCGTACGCGTAATATGCCAACCCGAATCAAAGGAACTTTTCGGCGAGCAGAAATTAACCGCTTGTTTGCGGTTAATTGAGATGATATTAATTATAATTATGCCCGCGCACTCGCAAACGACAATACACATGTACACACATTTAAAGATTCAGTTAGCAAATGGAATTATTTTGGGGGTGGCACTACCGCGAACACACGTAAGCGCTAATAACACTTAAATAAGCACCGTCAAACACACTAACACTCACACACTTGCCCACCCACACACAGATACACCGGTACACACACTAACTTACGGCCATACACAAAGGCACCCACAATCAGGACAAACCGGATGGCAAGGACAAACATACATTGCAATTTCGAAATTAAGTGGCTCACTTGTCTTGTTTGTTTTTGAATGCGTGTATTTGTCTGTCTGCGTGCGTGTGTGTTGATGCATCCGCGAGATTGTCTGTGTGCGGATTTGTTTGTTTGTCTGCGATTTGCGTTTTCGTTTGTGTGAGCGCCCCGTTTTGCTTTTAACTTGTGTATATAAGTTTGTTTTTTTCCGCCAAGTTATATTCTTTTTGCTTGCATGTACTATAAATTATGAAAAATATATATTACGGATATTTCTATACCTTTTGAGTTCTACCAACACGCACTAACATTCTGATAGTGTTAATATTTTTTCGGAAATTTTTCATTCAGAAACTACATTAAAGTAGTTGAGATTAAGCACGAAGATTCTTGAGGTCCCTGGACACCGCAAGTTTATTTCATCATCCTGCCACGCCCACTCTAACGCCCACAAATCACGAAAAACTAAAATCGCTTAAATCTCAGAAACTATAAGAGCTAGAAAGTTGACATTCAGTATGTATAGTCTTGGGATGAAACCGCATCTTATTTGGTGGTACCATTATTCGGCCAAACAAACCCATACGCCCACCAAGCGCAAAAGACGGTTTTCGCATTTTCTAGAAAACCTGATATCTCGGTAAGTATAAGTGATTGAGAGTTCGGATTAGGCATGTAGGTTTTTATGACGCCCCGAATGCGAATTACTACGATCAAGCCACGCCCACTCTAACGCCCACAAAAGCCGAAAAATCAAGAATGCAAGCATCTCGGGAACTATAAAAGCTAGAAAGTTGTGCTTAAGAATACGCACCTAAAATATACCACTGCAACTTACCCTTAGTTTTCATCCTGCCACGCCCACTCTAACGCCCACAAACCGCGAAACACTGTGGCGTCTATACTATTCTTATGAATGCCTTCGTTTGACCTTGTATAACTTAATTTTGTTAATATCTATAGATTTACCAAAGAACTTTCAAATCGGAACATTATTTCGCTAGTTATGAAGAAATTTAGGTTATAAGGCGTTACATGGGCAGTGACGTCACTATCAGTTACTCAACATGCTTTCTCCGACAATAGGTGGCGTTTGGGGAATTTCCTCTATCAAAATGAATATTTTAAAATTGTGTAAAACAGTAACGGGTGTCTTTTAGTCGCGGCACTCGATTATAGCGTTTCCTCTTGTTATTATTATGCAAGCGAAACCACAACTAATGTGCATTGCAAACTGCAAACTGAAAACTGCAAAGTCAATGGCCAAAAGGGGGTCATATGTGCATTAACTGATTATTTTTACTTCTGAAATAGAGGCAACAACGCAGCAAAGGCAATATTAAACAAATAATTTAGGCTCACGAGAGCTAGCTAGCACATATTCAAATCAACTCATTTGAAAAGGAAACAAAGTGAAAGAGTTCTGGGCTGATGTAAAAACTGTATTAGGGTAAAAGCTTTAAATATATGCACATTTTGTGAAGCAATTTTATGAGTTTTCCGGCTCGTTGTTGCCATTGCTATTTACACCTAGAGCGCATAACTCTTGGACAAATAAACAAAGCATAGTTATTAAACAGGATATTCGAATCAACAGGAACACCAGTAGCAGCAACAACAGAAACAACAACAGCACTAGTATCAAAAACAATAACTGACAACAATAAGGGAAGAACAACAGCAAAAACAACAGATGGCAAAAAGTACAAGAGCACAATTTCCTTATGCAAAGCGACGATAAGAGCAAACCGAATGCGAATACATAGATTTATAGTCACAGGACACCGAGAACCCGAGTCCAGAGGCAACTGAACTGGGCAACTGGTGCTGAATTCTGAATCCTGCATATATCCGAACCAAAGCGCTGCGATCCACAGCTGCCATAGCCCCAGTTCTGTGTCGTAAAAATAAAAGCTGTCAATGCACTGGAAATTTATCGCCCTGCAAATTAACACTTAAATGTAAAATGGAAAAATGGAAGGCCACCAAGTAGAGACTTCTATCCCTTTAAAATTCGACTAAACGATGCCCTGTACTTTTCGAGTTAAAAAAAGATCACTTTATTTGCTACACTTTTTAAAACTCTTAATATAAGTTCATGTAAAATCTGCTAATTAGTAATTCCTATCAGATACCTGTCACTCTATTAACCAATTCCAATTTAATTTTACTAGCGCCATATTTTGCTAGATCCAGGCACACTGCGTAGGTGAGGGTTTATAACCTTAACTTGTTATTAAATTTAAGTTTATTTAGATTTAAAAAATCGATAGGTACAGACACACGGACAAACGTCGAGATGCTAATAACCCTGATCAAGAATAGGGTCAAAAAGGCATCCTTCCTTGTGACATACTTTCCAACGAATACATTACACCCTTTGCTCTACGATAAACGGGTATAAAAATGAAAATAGGAAAAACTTTAGGTGTGAGCAAAGATACGAAATATAGAGAAATGACAAATGTTGACCTACTGTTACTTTACGGATTGGCTTTAGAGCCTCACTCACTTTAGTACTCATCCACCCAAAACTAACACACACCCTGGTACTCCCGTCCATCTCACTTACCTTCTCGGGCTCCAGGTCTTTGGGAATCTGAGTGCCGTCCTTGGAGCAGAAGCAGAATGGCAGGGAGCAGTCCTCCGTGTTGCACCGCTGGGCGGTGTCTGCAGGGGCCTCCGTGGCAGGGGCGGGCGCTGAAAGGGGCGCAAATCAGTTTGGAAATTATTTAAAATCTATTTCGTTATGCGGGATCCAATCCCAGATGCCGGGAGGTCGAAAGTCAACAAGTCAGACGGCACAATGCCGTACGAAATGTCAATAAGCAATCCAAGGCGAATGTGTGCGAGAAACAAGTTAAAAGAAAGTTAACAACGGGCGGGGTGGAGGAGATCAAAGTCAAATAACCTTAAGCCAAAGACCGGGCTCTCTCCTCTCTCAAAAGATATTTGCATATGTGGGCGGCGCTTGGGCGTGGCATCTGGATGTGATTGCGAGCCGAGCGGAAACTCAATCGCTTTCAATTGCCTTTTTCTACACGGAGCCCCATTGCCCCAACCTCAGAGGCAATCAGTTGTTCGAGCTTGTTTTGTTTTGTTTTGCGATCGAGTAAACAAATTCGTTTAAAGTTCGCAAAACAAAAGGTAAGGCCAAGTCAGGAGCCATGTTCCTTGGCAAATATTAAATGCATATCCGAAACATCAGCAGATGCACTTACCGAATTAGCCTCACCATGAATGCGCTATAGAAACCCGTTGCCGGAGGCGGTAAATTGATTTGATTTCGAGCTTGGCTTCGAGCTTGGCGTGCGGGGGTCAAGGGAATCTCCAGTGACTTCCAGCGGTTAAGGGAGAGGTATGTGGAGCGTATTGGAGGTCACAAATATAAGTCACTTGCGGAGCTCCATTAAAGTTAATAGCAAAACTTGTGCCAGATAAAATGACATTATCCACAATTATCTAAGTTTTGAAAGTTCTTTTTAGTCTGTTATCATTTTCCAATCTCTTAAATATGTATTCAATAGATAGATATTAATGTAATATAGCTGCTCTTGTAAGCCCTCAAAACCTCCATTTCTTATAAATTGTAAAATTGTTTTGATTGAAACAATTGTTGGTGCCTTGATAGATATTAACAAAATGAGCAAATGGACTCGGTAGGTGATTCTGATACAGATTATATAGTATACTTTATGGGGTAAGAAACGCTTTCTGCAGCCTGTCAACTAACTTTTCTCTTGCTTTACTTGCTTTACTTTCACAAAAGCATCAGTCCTTTTACTCTAAGCCTTAAGGAAAACTTTAATTTCTTTACGAACATTTTTGTAACGTAAAGTCCTTATCCCAAGTCAATTAACTAATCGATATGAAAATGATAATGTGCCTCGTTCCTAAGACATGCGCCACCAGAAAAGCCAGCCTTACTTTTGGCAAATGTTGCCATCGAGAATAAACTGTGAGCATCATCAATCAAACCAAATCAATTCTACTTCCCGTCGTTCCTTTTATGATTTTTAGGAAGACTTGGACAGGAACTTAAGCCTTCTATGCGGAGAAGTGGCTATCGAAGGGGGTTGGCTTAAAAGGAACTTCATTTCGATTAAGCCTTTCGACAATGCTTAACTGGGACTTAATTACTGAGCTTCAGCTTCAGTGTCATGCAAATGAAAAGTCCAATACGCAAGCAAAATTTAGGAAAATGTTTATAGTGGGAAGGACTCCCGAAATTGGCATTTTCCAAGTCCCTGAACTGCCTGTCCCCTGGCTGGCACCCGACAACCTGTTAACTTTGTTGAGCTTAAGAATCTTACAAAAAACTAATAGGCAATATAAATGAACGATTTTCCTTTTTATGAGTTTAAAAAAATTTACATAGCATTTCGGATCAGATTACTGGCGAAATTGCAAAATGGCAAAATAAATAAAAGTAAGACCAGAAAGAAAAACGAAATAAATTCTTCTGGCATATCAATGCCTTTTGAAAAATATTTGTGGTCACATCATAAATAACGGCAATGAAAATGAAATGCTAGGCAATTAATTGGTCAGGACACAAACACAGACACACACGCACAAAACAGGACACACAGAGGACAGGACTGCTATCAACATAAATTCTCTGGGGCTGGAAAACTAAACTCTTTGCTAACCATCCTGTCCTGATTTTCCAATAGAAAGTAAATGCATAAAATTTTATTATTTCAAAAAGAAACTTCAAGAATTTTGCATTCCCACTCTCTATCCAACTCTGTCACACCGACTCCTGCCGTCTCGCTTCAAACTTTCGCTTGCCTTATTGAATAAAATGTAATAAACACTTTTAGTAACTTTGTCTTATGTATTTTGTCGTCGGTGGACGGACAACGATTCACATCTATGCACACTATGCGTATACGTAATATTCAGCTACTGTCACTCCGTACAGCAGCTTTTGTTGTTTCTGCTATTTCTTGTACAGTAAACGCATGTTAGAGTGAACTATTATTAAATAGTGCAGGTAACTAACTAATAGCACTAGAATAAATCTTCAGTTGATAGTTAGGCAGTTAAATGACAGAAAATAACTTGTTTTAATTCCTTATTCGAATCGATAGGTCTGGTATGTAAAGTCAGAAAACAAATACAATTAAAAGGCCTTTTAACGGAGAGATACTTTCTCGAGAGGGCATTACACTTTCGTTACAGTTTTTGGCACTACTTCTTCTAGCCCTTTTAGCCGTGAGGGCGTGTGGGTGTGCGGATGTGACAACTCTTGCTGTTGTGTAAGCAATATTGAAATGCTGTCATTGAGCGTGCTCACTGAATTATGAAATTGAAAACTATTCACTGCAAACAATTTTTCTTTGAATTTTATCAGCTCAGCTGCGTCTGGATGTGGGTGGAAAATCAGCTTGTCATTTCCTTGGACACGCTGCCTGTCAAGCGTTCTAGCCCTCGCAAACATACGATTCCCTTGAAAAAGGAAAAAAGTGACTTAAATATTTTAATTCGAGTCTCGCCTTGGTCGAATTAAATCGAAATAAAACGAAATGCATTGCATTTATATGCACAATGTATTGCATACATTTCAGGGCACACACATACCGCTTTTGCTTATTTATTTAGGGGACACGTTACTGACACAACTTCAAATTCAGTTGAAATCCGTTGCGTATACGCAATTCGTCAGTCGAGATTTGAGGCAAGTACGCGAGGGTCAGAAGGGGGTTAAACGGGGAGCGGGGACCTACGAGCTATGGATGCCGGAGAGGAAGTCTTTCGTCTGGCAGAGCTCTTAATCCTCGGATGGCTTAGGCAGTTGGCTGCAAAAATTTAAGTGCCCGACGATTAAAGGCAATCAGTTAGCTTGCTTTACATATTTTACTGAAACTGCTTTAAATTATATAACGACGTATAAAGGAACATGCACAACTGGCTAGGTGGGATTCAACGGATGCTGAAGTGATTTTAGTGGGCGGAGAGCTGGCTATCAACCTTGGAGTTGAGGTAGCCAGTTTTTGTTGCTAGCTAAATAGAATGTGCATTTCAAAAAAAATCTTATAAATATATGTACGTATCTACTATATGTATGTGTCAGCAGAAAAAGCGGAAACAAATTCTAATGCAAAGAGCTTTGACCCAATCTCTGCTGCAATATTTCGCCTCGAACTCTGTGCCTGCGAGTGAAGAAAAGTAATAACATAAATGGCACACACACAAAGAGCTATTTATATGAGAAAACATTCTAGTTGGCATTACGCAAATCCCCAAACGCTTTAGCTGTCGCAGCTTTCTTCCAAGCGGTTGCCTTCCGACCGAAGGACGACTGCCAACGACCGACGACTGGCGGACCGGGATCAGCTTCCGGACCCGTGCCCGTGCCTCTGCTAGTACTACTACTATGTCCCATCTTCCAGAAACTTATCCAAAAAAGTCGTAGTCGCAATTGCAACTGGAATGGCGACTACAGCAAAAGTGCGTGTTTGCATGTGAGCGATATGTCACTTGACACCCACCCACCCTCTTTCACCCCTTCTTAAACTCTTGCCAAGCCCTTTTACACCATGCACACTGGACGGAAAATCTAAAATAAGTGATTATTGGTTATATTTTGGCAAGTTTTAACTTTAGTTTATGTAATTCTTTATATATTCATGTTTTTTATGTTATTTCTAGAGTGTAGAGAGCGTGGGATTTTTGATGCTTCTTTCCACATTCTAACACTCTGATAAATAGGTTTACTGGTCATTTAACAGATTATCAAGTGTCGTAATCATTATAATTTCAGTCAGAAGATCGCAAGTGAAATACCTACCTAGAGGTATCTGCTTGCATGATCCTTTCCTACACATCAAGGCAAAACTATTTCGTATAAGTCCCATGGGGATGATCTTAAAGTTAATAGGGCAAAATTAAGTAGACTTATATAACCATTTCCCAATTCAGAATATATTATATTTTTAGATCAAAGAAAATCTAAGCTTAGGAATTATCGGTCTTCTTATATACAAATCTCGGAGACTCTACCACTAGACCCATTTCCCACTTCTCCACCTTTATCTTCCTTATTCAAAAACTTTGGTTTTTAGTAATTATTTAACGTCAGCCGATTGACCGAAAAGTTCATAAACAAGTTTACTCAATTTGCTGTTGCAGAAGTCGGAATAATATTTCCCGAGTGTATGTTAAAAAAGGTGGCAGGGGCGTTTTCCCAGCTCTGAAGGTAAAGGGGGCGATGCAAAAGTCCGACACTAGAGCTGTATGGCTCCGTAAAACTGAAAACTAAATCGCAAATGTAAGCTTTTATGGCCCACATGCCCATACGGCTGCGATCAAGGTTATAGAACCATGAATGTCTAACGCAAGATAGCTTTAGTATTTCATGACCATTGTTGTATGTGTTCGAAGTATTTGTTGCTGTACTAATACCCCTACTCTCTAATTTAATCAACCTTAATCCTCTCTTCATTAAACCAGTGACTAATGCCCGAGTCTAATGGGCATAAAAATAATAACATTTTAAGCCAACGAACTTGTAAGAAATTAGTTAAAAAGGAGGTATGAAATGCACTAAGCAGTAACTGGTGTCGAATTTTAAGTGCTATTCGAATGACCCGGAGTGTGAGACGAGAACTAAAGATAGACTTGGTTATTCTTAAGCTGTCGCGTTTGTGCTCCATTTGAAGTGCACTCAATGCTGTGGGTGGTCGGGTGGTGTGCCAAAGTACTTGGCATTCATCTTGGCAATGGCTTAATCTCCGCCACGCCCTTTCTGTGAAAACGTCGCCCATTCTACCAACCGCCCTTTTTCCCTGCGGCAAGGTGGCTCCTTTGGGCAGCATCGTTAGGTAAGTCAATAGAGCGGACAATGTTTGGATTGTGTCCTCGGAGTGCTGGACACCATTGGGCTTTGTCATCGGGTATATTGAGATTTCGATTTTGGTTGCGGTTCGATTCGGGTTTGGCCAGCACAAGCACAACAATACCCACATATAATGTAGCATCCATAACTGAGTTATGCGACATTTACCCAAAATTGCTTCCTAATGCACAACATCCGGCCTGAGCATTGCACTTTTCTGCGACTCTCAGTTCTTGCGAACTGGAAAACAAATTTATATCTTTGGAAGTTATACTAAAAAAGGTTTCTAACACATAGAAACATAGTTAGCGACTGTAATATTCGGATTAACATTTTGAATACTCCTTAACTATACCTTTTTGTTAAAGTTTGTTTGTTATATTGATCTGAAATATGTGGCGAGTAGTTATATAATTTTTTATTCATATCTATTCATATATTTACTCGTATATATAGTTAGCCTTTATGTTCCCCATCGGTTTTTTTTTAGTCTGGGGCCCTGTGTCCCTCTCAAAACTTCAAATCGTTTAGCAGCCCAGACGGACAAAAAACAAACCTGGCCAAAGGAATGTTGGCCCCACATAGAGTGCACTTACAATTTTTAGCCCATTTTCTTTGTTCGCCCTGATTTATGTTGCACTTTCTTCTCCGCTTTGGCTGGGTTTTGGGACTTTTCTAATCACTTACTTGTTGGTAGAGGACCGCACTTGGCCTCGTCCTGGAACGTGCAGTACTTCTGCACATCATCGAAGAAGAGTCCAGATGGACAGCGGTTCAAATAAGGATATCCATCGACGCACTAGAAGATCGGGAGTGCCAAAGGGGTATGGTGTGATACATTTGAGAAATTTAGGATTAAAGGCTGTTGAACTCACTTGGTAAAACCGACGACAGGTCGCCGGATCTGCGTAGTTGCCATTGGCAATATGTGAGGGGCACTGAAACTCCTCCTTCTCCTTTCCCTGGCCTGTGAAGTTTCAGAAAATGGAAAAGTTTCGATTAGTTGGCTAAGCCGTGCAAGGAATTGATTTATTTGATTTGTTATCAATTAAAACTTAAGCTTGCGATAATTATATTCGTATTTAGCCTAATTGATTTTTAATTGACTCATGCCGAGAAGGAAAACCAAAATAAATCAGATAAACCACTTGTAAAATGGAAATGCAATCATTTACGAAACCTATTTGCTTGTGGACCGACACGCTAAATCCAACGAATCCATAACCCAGCGCATTAACTTCTTTATAGAGTGAAGCGGTTCGTGGAATTTAAATATCCGGCAATTAATTGCATAATATATATAATACCTTATGTACGGCGGCATGTAACTCGTCGGATTTATATGGTTACGGAGGAGGAATGAGGAATGAGGGCTAGGATAAATACAAAAATATAATCGCTTAATGTATATTTATGATGATTTTGCAGCATTAATACACTCTCATATCCCCACCTTTATGCGTTTCAATTTTTTAATGAGTCCGATCTAACCTTAAATGGCTTGGCGGCTTGACATTTACAAAAAGCCACGAGATGGGGTGGGCGATAAGCGAATGAAACAAATGAATAAATAACAGATAAGTTATAATTAAATGTCGATTTACGTTTTGATCAAGTGGCAAAAAACAGAACGTATCATATTAAATGTACAAAAGGGAACAGGGAGGGAACTAAATTAATGAAAATGTATAAATATTTTCGTACTCGAACTTGAAACCCAACGCCTGCTCTGCTCGGCTGCGGTTTAGGAAAAGTTGAACTATAATGAATATAAATTGACTAACATAGATTAACATAGGCCTAAAATCAAACACCAGTAGTTCAGACTAGTCCGCTTTTCCCAAACTCGAGTTCCGACCAAAATGTTTGGTTTATTTGGGGGAAAATCGATGAGATTTAGGGGCGATTATAATTACGCCCACTTTCGCGGTTGAATGCCGCTCAAATTATTCATAAAACATATCCATTTTGGGGCTAAATGTTAATTAAATGAAAACTATTATTGGATACAATTGCATTACGTATAGGCACTGTGGAATGCCTGTATTTTCTTTTTTTTTAATTATAATTATTTGTCAGATTTATGATTTCGCATTGTTGCCATGTCACGAAAATGCCAATTAATTGATAGCCAAGTCCGAAAATAGCAGAATTCAATTTTGCCGATGCAGATAAAGTGGCCTATTTAGCTGGTGATTAGATTAAAGAACCTTTTCAGCATCATTTTTTCAATGGCCCTTATATGGTCTACAAAAAGTAAGTATACGAGTATAAATAGACTAAAAATCAGTTGGAAGGTATAATAAATCAAAATCAATATACATAGATATTACTTAATTTACATGTATGTATAATTTATGTTTTATTTTTTTTTGTTATGAGATTATTATACACCTCGAACCGTACAGTTGATTCTAGTTAAGCTTCAAAGAGGAAGGAAGGACTTTATCTAGAGAGGAAGAGACTTTATTTGAAGATATCTATTTGTCCATTGATCATAATTTGATTTTTATATTTCATATGACATACAATTTTTGGTACTTTACTCCATGAAGGCAGATATTTCAATTGCCTTCACTCAGAATATGAAGGATCCCGTCCGGAATTATTTATTATATTATTTATAAAGCAATTAGATATTGCAATAAAACAGCATCTTCATAAATTAAATACACTTTGTAGTTTAGAAATACCCTTAACAAATGCCAGATAAAAACCTTGCCTCAGGGATGATTTCCAGTGCCCAAAATAATACCGGAATGTATCGACTTATTTGTCCCTTAACTTCAAGAAGGTCAGATGGTCCCACTCTAGTCAGGGACACTCCTTAGGCACCATATATTCTTATTAATTGGTTAACATACAGTTATTTGCTTAACTATTTAATTCACTTTCAATTCAATCAATAAAAATAAGTCCAGAGCTGTATAGAATTGCCAAATATTTTTTGTAAAATTAATTATAATTATAATCAATTATATAAGCTGGGATAGTGGCCAAGGTTAATAGGCTTGCTGATATATTGCTGGCAAGACGCGATGGTTAAGGATTTTCTTTTGCTGTCGTCAATTTTTCCCAACAACTTCCCAGTAGGTTCTAAGCTGGCAAATCAATTAAGTAGACTTGGAGAAACGCAAAAATCATTTTTTTCAAATAGGCAATAATTACAACCTTTACCAATTTACTATTTACGAAAACTCCTCTCCTTAAACAAGGCTTAAAACATTCCGTATGTAGTAAATTAAAATGGGAACAGGATCAGGGGACATTGGGATATGGGCGACAGGCGATACTCCAAATACACCCACGAATACTATGAAGTTTCGAAAGTGAAACTAAAAAATATGTCCATGGATTGGGCCTAAAAAACTGCACGTTCTTCCGTACCTTTTTTAACTTTTGGCTTATTGCGTTGGTTTTTTATTGGCACTCGCTATTTATTTATGGCATAAATACGTTATTTTTATTTCAACTTGCGGAGGCTTTTTGTTTCTGTGCTAGTTGGGATAGCGATTAAAAATAAGTGGGTAACTTTAAAAGAGACCACTTAAATTTTGACCAAACAAACGCAGCTTTCATGTTTTCAATACAAAAACCGAAATATTTCGCTAAAATATTTGAGTGTTGGGGCTTGGTCAATTTATGGTTATTTATGTGTACGAGTATGTTTATCCAACAACAGCAGCGGCCACAATGCGGTGAAAAAAGCAACAAAATTGGCAGTTAATTTAAACGGAATGTGTAAAATAAACAATAACAAAGCAATGCCATAATTAAATCAAATGAAAATGTTGGGATAAAAAAGAGCAAAAATAGCAGAAATAGCGAAAATAGCGCCGCAGTGGGAGAGTGTGGGAAACCCCATTTTCATATAATTATTATGGCTAATTAATATTTATTAACCAGTACAGACCGACATCGATGTCCATAAACACTGGCCAAGGCACTGGCACGAGGCCAGAAGTCATGGCTAATGAGGCGATGTCCCCTGAGCGGCTTAATACCCCCGTTTCCCCATTTCCCCCCTCCACCACCGAACGTTGACCGAGGCAGAAGGGATATTTGAATTCTTGAATGAAAAAAATCAACTCCGGCGACTTAAAAGTTGAACAGACAGAATAAACTTGTAGCAGCCAACTGTCCCCAACTGCGGGAATGTGCAACATTCATGCAACGCAGTGACAGGAAACAGGAAAATTGCATCATAGAGCTATCTCCCCTTCTACCTTCCATTTAAATGCGCGTTGCATTTGAAATGTTTAATTTGCTGAACAAAATTAGAAAATCCTTAAAGGATCTCATCAATGTATGCTTTTCTCAAAATAACTTTACTGCCCATAACTTTGAAAAAAGGTTTTCATCCAAAATCGAATAAATATTAATGCCTTCGGACTTTTACCGGCACGACGAAAGTAAAAAGGTTAAAAACAATAATAATAAATTTATTGCACATTTATTTAAAAGTCATAAGGCCAATTACATGGAAACCGTTTTTTGTTTTTTCCCTTAATTAAGAAATTGCCAATGCGGAAAATAATAATTAAAAATAAGCCGAGAACCGTAACGTTCAAAAGGATACATTTCCCACTCGCCTTCTCTCCCTCCCACTATTGCCTCTGTCTTGCTCTGCAGAAATTAAATGTGCCCGAGAAAATAAATAAAATTGAAGAACAAAAAACGAGGAAAACCTGGTGAAGAACTGGAAAAATCTTTATTTTATGCACATCATGCAATAAGTTTTCGTTTTCTTGTTTCGTTTTTCTGCGATTATTTTTGCTTTCCGTTGATGTTTTCTTTGGCATTGTTGTTGCATTGTGTTTTTCATTTTCCCTGACCATAATTTATTTAACATTTCTGCGAAGGCTTAAAGCTAAAAGGGTGAATATTGAAAAGCTTGCCAGTTAATTCAATTTGCATACCTATTGCAGTTCAGCTATTGGACTTCACAAAACCATGAATTTCCTGTACTTCGGAATATATCGTTTTAGAGATAAGACTAGTTTTCTCGTTTAGTTGATTAGGTTAAACAAAATCACTAAACTCAACCTAGCAGGTACGGACTATATCCGTATGATACTATTTATCCCGTATTCCAGGTTTCCCAAACTATTCGAATAGGCCTATGGCCTGGCAAATTCATCACTTGTGAGAGTGAAACATTAGATATCAAGGAAATATATATTCTTTATGATTTTTCTTCCATATAATAGGTTATTTTTTGGTGTAGAATGCGCGGTTAAAGAATAAACCAGAATGTCTCGATTCTGTAGAACTCCGTCCTGACTTCCTTTCATACTATCATGCTGTAATGTGAGGACCATTTCTTGATTTATGAATATATATCTAACCGAATAATTTAACCCACATTACGATAATAATATATTTACTATTCCCTCTTTAGAGAAAGGCTTTCTGATTTCCGTCCCATATGTAGCACGTGTCTTTCCTATTTCTTGAATTTCGATAGTCGAAAACAGCTCCTTTATAGTTATTGTTTTCTAACAATGATGGTAGAATCTTGAATTTTAATAAATTCTTAGGCTGTGACGGAATTTTTAAATTATTAAAAAGGCCTAATGTGCGAAATAAGTTCGGAAGGGCTGTGTTTCACCCTGGAAGTGAGTTTAAATCGATTTCGTTTCGCTGACACACTTTCATTGGGTTGTTTATGCACAGATATTCACTTAGCACGTTTCGCATTCCGGATCGGACGGTCTCTTTTGTGCTGCCATGGCCGTCTCTTTCTTGTGTAAATGATTTTATTTTTTTTTATCGGTAAAGCGTTTTCAGTTGTTGGTTGTTGTTGTTTATCTGTTGGTATTTTCAAGTAATTTTTCACGCATTTCTGTGGCTGCTTTGCGCCTCATTTTTCACGCCTGTCCATGTATTTGTGTCAGCTGAGTGTGTGCGTTAAGCTGCTTAAAAGTTTTTGTCGCTTCCTTTTGCAACATTTGTCGTTTTTTCGCGCTGTGTGCTGTGTTTCAGTTGCTGCTTTTCTGCATTTACAACACTTAAATTGTAAATAACGCCGATTTGGTTAACTCAGCGCGAGAGAGACGACATCTGGGCGCGCGAAAGAGACGGAACCTGTGGAAACCTCTGTGTTCACTTTTTGAGTGTGTAATGGCCAAAACCACTTGCCTTTGTCAACAAATTTGCGTTTAAATGGCTCATGTGCCGCTGTTTTCCCCCTTTTCTCTACCGCGTTTTCCTCGCCCACCCATTTGCCTATTTTCGCATTTATTTTAATTTTGTTTTAAATTATGTGGATTTCGTTTTCTTTAAGTGAGCGGTAAAAAAAAATAAAATACTACAAGGAGAAGATATCTTTTTTTGCAAAAGAAAGGGAGCGGCAGATTACTTAAATGAAATGAATGTGTCCCACTTGAGAGTGATAAATTATTTTTCCTCCTAATTGGCTTTAATTTCGGATGATAAAATTTGGCCTCTTCACTTTCTGGGTGCTGCATATATCAAAGTTAATTAAGTTACACGGAATTTGTATTTTCCATACTGCCGAATTCTGTTCTAGGAGGTGCTCTTTAATAAGTCTCAGCAAGGTCAACGTCGCGTGCGAGACTAAACATAAATCAACCTAAATAGTTCTCTTAGGTGACTATGCTAAGCCATCATAAACGAAACAGTGAGTGAAATAAATATTCTACTCGTGCGTGCTACTAATGTGCAGCTCATAAAAAGCTCTATAAATGAAAAAGGCTTCTGTATTAAAAACATGTTGTACACATTTGATTTCAAAGGATTTCGCAATACCTGAAAAAGCGCTGCACAAAAGTCCGTTAATATATATTTTTTGCACTTGTGCAATGGCTCGCTGGCGAAATGAAAGTATTTTTTTCTTAGGTACACTTTTTGGCGGATTTTTCATCACCACCAAAAGCAATTATGCAACGCGCTGGCGCTGGCAGTGGCGCTGGTGCTGGCGATGGCCAATCAATAAAATAAAAAGTAAAATCAATGTCACAATCAAGTTGCATAAATGAAGCTCAGCATCTGCTCCGAGCTCCCGAAAAGTGAATAAAATCATTTGGAGTTTTCAATTCCCGTTGTATTTTACGGTTCGTTTCTTAAATTTTACATCAACGTTTACATAATGCAGGCAACATGCACCGTTTTAGAAACAAGTTTTTCACCTCCCGCCGAGCACCGAAGAAAGTGAAATCGAAAGAAGAAACTTTTCGAGTTATCGGCAATACCGGTGATGCTGCAATGGTGTTGAAAAAATAGGCAAGCCTACATGTATTTTTACATACGATTATACGGTTTATAAAGTATGTGAGCAAGAAATTAAAGCAAAAGTTGACCATGAAATTCACACAGAAAAGAGTCGTCAGATTTGCATATTCATGAAGTTCATTCGCAGGTATTTCCGATTTTGGAGCTACACGGCAAAAATCTATTGTAAATTAAAATGTAAATTTATTTCACTGTTTTTCCAACTTTGATAGCTGAATTGTTGTCTTAAACTGAAGTTGGCTGCTTCGAAATTCAACAAATAATGCAATGTCAACCTCCTTGACAAGATAAATATACTTTGTGTCCGCTGCTTAGCCAGTTACCTTTTAGATTATGTTTTGCATTTCAAAGGGACTTTCCATTCTTATTTCAAATGATTTATTTTTGCCTTCTTAAATTGCATCAAGAGGAAACGCTATAGTCGAGTGCCGCGACTATAAGATACCCGTTACTATTTTACACAATTTTAAAATATTAATTTTGATAGTGAAAATTCACAAGGCGCCACCTATTGTCAGAGGAAGTATGTTGAGTAACTGATGGTGACTTCACTGCCCATGGCCTTGTAACCTAGATTTCTTCAGGAATAGCGAAATAATGTTCAGATTTAAAAAATCTTTGGTAAATCGATAGATATAATCAGAAATAAGTCATACAAGGTCAACGAAGGCATTCCTAATAATATTATAGACGCCACAGTTTTCCGCGGTTTGTGGGCGTTAGAGTGGGCTTGGCCGGATGCATCTTCGTGGCAAGTTGCAGTGGCATCTCGTAAATACGTGTTCCTAAGCAAAATTTTGTAGCTCGAATAGTTTTCGAGATTTTTGCATTTTTGGTTTTTCGGGTTTTGTGGGCGTTAAAGTGGGCGTGGCTTGATCGGAAAAAATAAATTCGCACTTTCTATCTCTTATAGTTACCGAGATATCAGCTTTTCTAGAAAATCCGAAAAACCTTGAGGCTTGTGGGCGTATTGGTGGGTGTGGCCGGATATTAGTAACACTATAAGATGCGCTGGCATCCAACGTTTATACATAATGAATTTCATTTTTCTAGCTGTAATAGTTACCGAGATTTTAGCGATTTTAGTGGGCGTTAGAGTGGGCGTGGCAGGATGCTGAAATAAACTTGCGCTGTCCCGGGACCTCAAGAATCTTCATGCTTAATCTCAACTTTCTATCTGCTATAGTTCCTGAGGTCTCAGCGTTCATACGGACGGACGGACGGATGGACCGACAGACGGACATGGCTCAATCGACTTCGCTATTGATCCTGATCAAGAATATATATACTTTATAGGGTCGGAAACGACCTTCTATCTGTTACATACTTTTCAACGAATCTAGTATACCCTTTTACTCTACTAGTAACGGGTATAATAAATAATGATAAAAAGCATATTTCAAACACATCAACCTTGGAAGCTTCCTGCTAAGTCTGCGAAGCTTGACGTTTTTGCTCTATATGTAAATATATGCCGATGGCTGGCTTTCTGGCTGAATTGCTAATTAGCATGAATGACTAGCCAAGCGAGTGGCGCAAAAGCTGCCACTAATCAAGTTGGAGGTCAATTCGGCAGTTCTCAGCAGGCAGTTGGCAGTCTTTTTATTACGCAACTGGGAAGAGTGGAAAGAGTGATCGGAACCACTACCCGCCAACCAGTTTGCCAGTTTTCCCGACAGGACAGCTGACCTTGCGGGCCGACAGGGTGAAAACCAGTTGGGAAAACCGGTGCTGTTACCTAATTCGTACAGGAAGCAAACTTCAAAGCCTTAAGTAGGCACTTTTTCACTTTTCAGCACTCAACGAACAGATACTCAGGAAGAGACTATACAAGCTCTGGCTCTCTGATTTCTTACACTCGCACCAAGCACAGTAACAAAAATTGAAAAAAATACGTATTATACATATATCTTGTAGTTTTGTATGTATGCGCAGTGAAAGCGGAAACAATATATATTTGTAGTGGATCGGTCGGTCGTCGTCTGGCCAGAAACTTACCATTGACACCAGATATAGCTAGCAACACGGCCAGCAGACACAGCCGCGACATCTTGATTTCGGCTACGTGTACTGATCGAAGTATGAGTATATATTTCCCGATTCCGGATCGAGATTTAAAGACAGTGTTTGTGAGAGTGGGGTACGGGGGAGGGCGAGTAAAAGCTAGACGTCCGCAACGCGCAAATGCAAACCGTCAACTGATCGAGATCCACGACCGAGAAATTGCAAGAAGCCAACGCGAAGCCACTCTTCACCAAATCCCAACTGAAAAGCACTCGATTGATGGCTCAGCGGCTCAGTGGCTTAGCTGCTCAGTGGCTCAGGGCTGGTGGAAAAATGCTTCGAGAAATGTCAGGCCAATCGAGCACAGTTTATAGTACAACTCATAAACGAAAGGAAATCTTTAACTTCTGTTTTAAGCTACTTAGTATTAAAATAAAGAGAATAAATATAGTTTGTTGGTTAAAGTAACTTCGTATATTCAAATTAACAGAATAACAAATGATATCTGTTCTCAATCCCACTAAATATCCAGCCCTGATGTCTGAGCACTGGGATACGGACCCCAAAGATTCGTTCGCTAAGTTAACGATCTCAACTCGCTTTCGTTTGGACTGGTTGTCGTACGATTCCACTCAACTCAGTCTGATTCGATTCGAGTCGAGCGGAATCGAGTGGGTTCGATACCGAAACAAAAGCCGGTTTCGGGAAGCGGCTAAGTTTGCGCGTGCGTGCGCATATCAATAGGCGTGCGGGCGGACCAAAGACTCTCCGAGGGTGTGGGATTGTGGCTCTGTGGATGTGGGGCCATTCCGAACTGTGCCTAAGCTATCCCATTATGCTGATCAACTATATGCATTACAACGATATCCAATAGGCGGCGTCCTGGTTCGCATACTAATCAGGTGCTAAGCGCAGATTACTGTTATCAGATTCATAAGAACCGCCCCTGGAAAGCAATCAAATCCCAGCGGCGTAGGCGACAGAATTAAGACTATAACATTGCTGTCATTGTTGCAGCATTATATTTCCAGAACCATACAGTCAAAAAAACTTTACAAAATTCAATTGGTTGTGTTTTGACCGAATTGTTTGCAAGAAAATGTTTTGGCCAATTACAAAATTTGATTGAGAACTTTTACTGTAGGAAGCAAAAATAACAAAAAGATTAATATTGAATTGAAATTTTTTTTTTTAATTTAAATTTATTTTTAGTCAAGTTTGGCCTGACCTTATATTTATTCAACAGTTATTTCTGTAAGTTCTTGGACTATTTTCGTAGGAAAATTAAATTTGCTTGAAAATTTGCTAAGGTTTTTTGTATTTAAGAGTTTTTACAGTCAGTTGTAACATTACATATAATCGCATATACTTTAACACAAGGAACAGTTTCAATTCAGCCCCTCGAATACAAAGTTTTTTTTAAAAACTTTAATCTATTTATAATTTACTAAAAATTCTTAAAGGTTAAAAATGATTATAAATGCACCTTTTGCTCTCAATAAAATATGCTTCAACGTTTTCTAAAATCAATGAAATTTATATCATATGAGATTTTATTTAAGTTATAAAAAAAATTAATTAGGAAATACTTTGGTGAGTAGAGATTTGGCTTCCCTTTCGGTTATTTTTTACGTAGTTTTAAAATACAAAATGTGAAAGGGGAAAACTTAAAAACCGCGACTTAAGAACTTTCTATTATATAATTTTAATTTTAATTTTTATTTTCTGCAGTGTATGCACTTTGCTTACTTCGCCGTGTCTGGGTGCAGAAGTGACGGGCGATTGCTTCGATTGGATTATAGATTGTTGGTAACATTTTGGAGGTGACTTTCTTAGAAAGACAAACATGTTAGCCGAATATTAACCAGTTTTCTATAACACTGGTGAGTCCGCAAGAACAAACAGCAACAAAGATGGCTATATATGAGGTATTAGATAAATATGAATTATAGTTATTATTTTTTATTACAGTTTTTGTTTGGTAAACGTACGAAGTAAGCTTAAAGAAGTTTAATTTAATTAAACAATTTAAAGAATTGGGGGAAAAGAATTTATGAGATCAATCGGCAAACTGGTTGAGATATCTATGTACAAACGTATACGAGTATATCGAACGAACTTTCCATTTTAGTTGAAATGTCAATAGAACTTGAGTAAATTTAGGTGCTTTGTTTGCTATTTCGTGGAATTCCGAATGATTTGTATTCGTTTTACTTTGTTTTTATACACAAATGAACATTTTAATTGAAACCCAGATTAGTCGTCTGAAAGTAGTTGTTTTTCGATTTGAATTGCGGGAGAAATGCTTCCTTTAAATTTTATATGTTTTAATCCGTATATTAAAAGCCATTTTTCGGACAGAAGGGAAAGTATGCAACTCGGTGATTCTGTCGGACAACAAATCAAGATTACATGTAAATATGTGAACAAGTTTTAGTTTCTCTGAATATTAAATGGTTTAATTTACATTTCCATTTCGTTTTCGGTAGAATTATGTGCATTTTTCGTTGGCACCCGAAAACTATTTTCCTGAGAGTGGGAATGAATGGGCCTTAATACCAGGCTCCACACACTTACTATGAAAGAAAGTTTTGTTGTTTGCCTTTTTATGAATATTCAGCCACACACTACAGGCCCTTCCTCGCAGTGCGTTTCATTAGTATAAGGCACCAACCTGTGGGGCTTCAAGCATATTCATTTCATATATCATCCAGAGCATGTCGCTTGAAACAATATTACAGTGTTTGCCCAAATTGACGGACTAGCGATTAACATTAAAATTTTCGATTTATTTGAATTTGTCAAACAACGCAAGCGTTACATTTTCGTCTAAAACTGTGTTGGCGTGTGGGCAACGAAAAATTTTTGGCCATTTAAACCAATAAATATGTAAATTTTTCATAAATTTAATTAAATTCACTCACAAAGAGCTGCGTCGCCGCTAACTGCAGCGAAAGTTGTGTCCGCCCCAATTTCCCACCCAGAGGCTGAGGAAAACAGTAGCAGTAGGAAGGAGAAGAAATGGGAAAGAATTTTTTGCGGAGATCCATGGCTGAGTAGTTCCGCTGAATGCCGGAGAACAAAAGTTGGCAAATGTATGCAAATATCTATTGCAGGCGTTGAGTTGAGCGGATCCCGCTTTTTGAGTTCCGAGTCTGCAGGTGCCAGATGCTTGACGTACGGATAAACCGGACAGCGGAGGTTGGAGGGGAAAGGACACTGAGGCGAAGTATTGGCAAGTAAATAAAAAGTTTTTGTATAAAAACTTCTAATGCCCATAATTAGCAATACAAATAGTATAAAATATAAAAGAACTCGAAATGTTATATGCTGAAATTGAATGTCGAATCGTAAATAAATTTCTTTGCGTGTGTCCTGGCTGAGTTAAGAAAGTTTTTGAAAGCCGAGACGATACCGATGATAAATGAGAATTGTCAGAAAATTTAACGATTTTGACTGACAAAGAAACTGACTAAGAAGCGGATGAACTTTCATAGTTTTGTTTATGCCAGCAAACAACAAAGGGCGACGAAATTGCAAGTGAGCGGACATGGAAATTAAAATAAACTGAAAGTACCACCGCATGGCTACACAGGGATTCAAGGCGGTTGCTGACAGCCACGAGGGTGTAGTCCTTTGCTGGGGCATATTCCATTAGCATTTACTCAATTTTAAAGTGATTTTGGTCCTTTGTTTGGCCGCTTAACTACACAAAAACTTAGCTGGAATACAATTATTCCATTTACGCCAGTACTTTGCCAGTAATTTTACTTAACGCAACTATTCTAGTCTACTATGAGTTAACGCTCACTCATAGTAAACTAGAATATTGATGATGACTTATCATGTTCATGTATGTGGGATATGGGTATATTAAGGTATTAATCAGCCTATTTAATTTCATATGGGGACACACTGTTCTTCCATCAGCCAAAACGCCATATAGAACTGTCTCTTTCCATCAAAGAATGTCTATACCCATCACCCTCTTCCTAATAGAAATTGCGCCTTACTAATTTAAGTTGAAGTCAGTCGATTGCGAATATTGAAGAGAGCAAGTGTCATCCACAGAGTGCGGAAGTCGTGAAGTTTAATACAAAACCTTTGTTTCTTTAATTTACCTTTATATATATCCGAAATAAACATTATCAATTTGTACTACCCTACATGTATATATTTATATAGTTCTATAATTAAAGTTGGAGTTATGTTTAAGTTTTAACTTGTATGTCTCTAAGGTACTAACTTGCTATTCTGTTTAGTGTTGCCAGCTTAGCTTATTATTAGGTTGTCAAAAAAGTCTTGCGGTTTTTTCGCTAGTTGGCACTGAAAGCCAATAATACCTAAAATATCCTACAATATCTTTTTGGAAAGCTCATTTCACGCGCTAACACGTGTTTAATTGATTGTCTTTTCTTTTAAGTCGCTCGTGAGTTATAGCGTCGCAATCATGGAGCAAAATAAAGGGAAAATACGGCATATTTTACAGTACTACTACGATAAAGGCAAAAATGCATCTCACGCCGCCAATAAAATTTGTGCAGTTTATGGACCCGATACAGTTTCCAATATCCACCGCACAACGGTGGTATCAACGTTTTCGTTCTGGTGTAGAGGTGGTCGAGGATGCGCCACGCTCCGAGTTTTTTGCCAATAGGGAAGCGAGCTTCTATGAGAGGGGCATTATGTTTGCAACTCGTTGGAAACGCGTCATCGAACAAAACGGCGCATATTTGACTTGACTCGCATTATTGTAACCAATTTTACACCGCAAGACTTTTTTGACAACCTAATATAAGATAGTTCTAGCATATATATATATTTTGCCAATGGTTATGTGCATTTAACATTTTTTTATGTGTATCGAAAATGGTGTTATAAAAAATCGATATGTTGGCTGAAGTTTTATCACCTATCTTTTGGATTTGTGAAATACTTCTATTTAATTTCTAAGATATGGTGTGCGCAGGCATGGGAAATGTTGGCAACCGTACAACTTGCCAGAAACTTGCTTATAAAAATAAAGAAAAAGCATTTAAATGACGATCAAATGACGATATCAATGACCTATAATTTAATTTAATTGCAAACTTTAAGAATGTTTTTATAAGTAAAGCTTTAATAATAAGATATTTAACAGGATTATTGTTCACACATACAAAAATTATAGTAAATCCATCATCAATTACCTTTGAATTGATGTTTTTTCTTTC